TACACATGTTATGGGACTTGTATAGACAAATTCTGATTCTGATATGTGTGTATACATATATATGTTAATATGTGTATATATTTACCTATCATGTACATATACTATATATAGTACAAATACTATATATACACACATTATATATGTGTGCAGATGTATAGGGAAACATTATAAAGTTTGTATAGAACAAAGAATCCACATATATTTGGATATATAGGATACATACACTTAGTCTAAGTGTTACGTGTGTATTACTCACATATCACATAAAAACACTATGTGTGTATACACTGTATGTGTAGATGCTACTGTACAGTATATATGTATATGTGAGTGAATATATGCGTGTACATTTATGAACACATATCTCAAAGGAGGAAATGTCCATATTTAAGGCAGGCATTGCACATAAAATATTAAGTATTTAGTAGACGAAAAAGGAAAAAAACTCTTTCTGCATGGCTCTCTTACACACTATATTCCCAGACACAATTGTTATTCAATTTGCAGTCAACAATCAAAAGATACTATGAGAAAACCTCACTATTGCTCAAAATTAACAGAATCCTCAGTCATTTTGTATGATATGTATTTGAATTCACGATGTACTAAGAAATATTTTGCTAGATGGATGTTTGTATTTTATAGTGTTTGGATGATTATTTTCCTTTTTGTGGTATATGAAGAATTCCGTTTCCATTTTATGAAATGGAAGCCCTGAGGAGATTGCCATGGAACCAGTGAGGAATTTCTGGCAGAGGAAAGTAGACGGCAGTCCTGGGAAAAATTACTGTGTGAAAAACTGAGGAAGAAGGAATTAGGGCTCCTGGATGGGGTGAAGACCCACATACAGAGTATTTCCGAGCCCTGAGAGTAGAGCAGCGTGTTCAGGGCCCTGAGCCTGTAGAAGAAATCTTCTCTGAGATGTGAGTCTGTGGAAAGTGTGTTGTAAGACCTGCCTTTTACTAGTATAATCCAGCAAAAGCCCATGGGCGAGGACCCAGTTTTATTTTAAGGAATGTGGGGACAGTATATTTCTTATTCATATTTGTGCAGATTTCATAGTGCTGATCAGTCATGTAGAAGGCGGAGGTCAGTGTGTTCACAGGATTCGTACCCGAGAGTCAGGAGGCACACGCAGGGGTCCATGGAAAAGGCTGGCGGCCTGGTATGGTGGGAAGGTCATCAGCGACAGACGCCAGAGTCTCCCGCTTGATCTTGCTGAAATCTGGCTCAGATGTTTGGCCTAGCACAACCAAACTGGAACTTGGAAGATGCTGTATAGATAAAACCTAATATTGTAACCATTCATATTGTTATGGATATGAACATAACTTTGAAAATGTCCTTAATCAGATTTCTTTATTCTAGAGGGTAGATGGTGAATGATGAGATTTCTTTATTCTAGAGGGTAGATGGAGAACGATAAGATTTCTTTACTCTAGAGGGTAGATAGCAAATGATAACATTTCTTTATTCTAGAGGGTAGATGGTGAAAGACAAGATTTCTTTATTCTAGAGGGTAGATGGCAAATGATAAGATTTCTTTATTCTAGAGAGTAGATGGCAAATGATAAGATTTCTTTATTCTAGAGGGTAGTGAATGATAAGATTTCTTTATTCTAGAGGGTAGATGGTGAATGATAAGATTTCTTTATTCTAGAGGGTAGATGGTGAATGATAACATTTCTTTATTCTAGAGGGTAGATGGTGAATGATAACATTTGTTTATTCTAGAGGGTAGATGGTGAATGATAAGATTTCTCTATTCTAGAGGGTAGGTGGTGAATGATAACATTTCTTTATTCTAGAGGGTAGATGGTGAATGATAACATTTGTTTATTCTAGAGGGTAGATGGTGAATGATAAGATGAGGGTAGGTGGTGAATGATAACATTTCTTTATTCTAGAGGGTAGATGGTGAATGATAACATTTGTTTATTCTAGAGGGTAGATGGCGAATGATAAGTTTTCTTCTGGAAGATAGGTGGCAAATGGTAAGATTTGTTTATTCTAGAGGGCAGGTGGCAAACGATAAGATTTCTTTACTCTAGAAGGTAGATGGTGAATGACAAGGTTTCTTTACTCCAGACGGCTGATGGTGAATGGTAAGATTTCTTTATTCTAGAGGGTAGATGGGGAATATTCGGTCCCTCGTGTTTCTCAGGATCCTCCCTCCAAACATTCTCTCCTGTGCAGCAGGGTTTTACATCCTTCCAACACAACAGTGGTCTTTGACCTAGACATGTTGAACTCTTTAATGCTAGGACTCAAGTTCTCTTGCTGTTTTGGGACAATTCAGAAAAGAATCAGCCCCAGTCCTTTTGCATACTTCTGTCTGACTGTCCTAGGTGAGTAGAAAGAAACAGTTCAACTGCTTTACAAGATTCATTGACCTGAGGTCTTGCCTGCAGCTGGATTTCTATCCCACTTCTGTGATTTTCCTTTCGTGGATCACCAACGCACTGCAAACTCCTATCATTGCTTTTGACATGGTGTACTTTGGTTCTGCCTGGAAAGGCAGGGAGTCTCAGAGTGAGGGGCTCACAGATCATAGGCAGATTGAAATGTTTTCAGCAAGAATAGGCAAAGCCATAGAGACAGAAAGCACACTCGTGGTTAGCAGGTGCTGGAGGGAGGAAGGAATGGGGAGTGGCTGCTGACTGGGTGTAGGGTGATGACAATGTGTGGAACAGGATGGCAGTGATGGTTACACAATGATCTGAGGAGAAGCTGCACAGGTAGCATCTGAGAAGGAGGGAAGGGCTCACAGGGTTCAGAGAGGGTGTCAGGGCATCAGGGTGGATTTGTCTTTTCCTGGTTGAAATCCGATACTTCCCCATTGATTTAGTTACTGAAGCACGTTTGGAACTCTGAACTGAAGAAATGGAGGCTCAGTAAAGCACACCAGGGAGTGTGGCAATGAGGAATAAAGAAGACTGTGTTACATGCCATGGACCAGAGCACGCAGGTGTGCAGAGCTGTGGACCCAACACTGCCGTGTGGGATGTAGCCTCATGTCTGGGAGTGGGAAAAGAAGGGGATCCAACCAAGGGAAGTCAACATTAATAGAGAGGAAAGGTATCACATGTTAATGGTCCTCCATGGATCACCCCGGAAAATGTCTCTGCAATCCAATTCCTCCTTCTGGAAATGACCGGCAGACAGTCCAGAGAGCATTGGCCCTAAATTGTCTCCCGGAACCTCCTGGGATCACCAGATCTATTCCCAAGGCTCCCACTCTGAGGGTTGCATTGTCCTTTCTGCTGTTCACCTCCCGGCTGCATTTTAGGGGCTTCTCTGGCTGTGCTGAGCCTCAAATAACAGAATCCCGAGGACCACCAGGATCAAGCCAGCCATGCCCATGCAGATGAGATTCTCCACTGTGTAATCCTGGGGGAATGAGGTGGGGGATGGTGGACAAAGAGGCCGCAGAGGTCACGGCAGGTCAGAATCACCCCGGGACCCCTGGATGTCCACCCAGGGCACCCACCTCCCCTTCACAGGACCTGACCCTCTGTGCCAGCCCCATAACTGAAAGCATCTCCTCACTCACCAGTCTTGGGGTCTGAATTGTTTTGTGATGGGCTGAGGGTCTCAGCTGCTCCTGAGAATCAAAACAAAGAAGTACCCTGAGCCAGCCTCTCTCCTAGGCTCTGCGTTCTTATCTTCCCCGTCTTCTGACATGAGTTCTAGTGAGTTCCTCAGTAAACCCTTCCTCTGTAGCAGGGTTCCCTCCAGTCTCCTCATGGAACTATTTCAGCTTTCCTGTGTTCTACAAATCTAAACGTTGCTCTTGAGTCATTTGGGAGAGAGTTTTCCTGTACCCCAAGGGCTCAGGATCTGCAAGGAAAGTGTCCCCAGTACAGAAATCACTGAGCCCTGTGTGCTGTCAGTGCAGCCTGGGACACAGGAGCACATGAGCCAATTCCCCCGGAGATGAGAGTTTCACGGATCCACCAGCTGAGGACCCAGGCTCCGTGCATGAGGGGTTGGTCCTCAGGGGCGCCTCAATGTCAGAAGCAGAAACTGGTGAAAGTCTGGGGCTGCCTCGCCTTCATGCCCTCAGCCACTTCACCTGGGTTTTCAATGTCCAATTAATCTAACTAATTCTTCATATAATCAGGAAAACCTAGAATGATGTGATACCTTCCTCTCCATCCCCACTCACAAACATCTGTCTGCTAAATAGTGGTGCTATTAGAGGTTCATAAATTAGTATTTCTGCTTTTACAAAGTGCGAATCTAGGTGAATCTAGACCAGTAACAAACATGTAAACTCCCACCACACAAAATATCTTTTTATTTATTTATTTACTTATTTATTGAGATGGAGTCTCGCTCTGTTTCCCAGGCTGGAGTGCAGTGGCATGATCTCAGCTCACTGCAACCTCCGCCTCCCAGGTTCAAGCAATTCTCCTGCCCCCAGCGTCCCAAGTAGCTGGGATGATAGGTGCGTGCCACCACCCCCAGCTAATTTTTTGTATCTTTAGTAGAGATGGGGTTTCACCATGTTGGCCAGGCTGGCCTCGAACTCCTGACCTCATGATCCTTCTGCCTCAGCCTCCCAAAGTGCTGGGATTATAGGTGTGAGCCACCGCACCAGGCCTATTTTTATTTTTATTGAGATGGAATCTCACTCAGTCGCACAGGCTAGAGTGCAGTGGCGCTCTCTTTGCTCATTGCAACCTCTGCCGCCTGGGTTCATGAGGTGATTCTCATGGTTCAGCCTCCTGAATAGCTGGCACTACAGGGGTGTGCCACCATGCCCAGGTATTTTTTTTTGTATTTTTAGTAGAGATGAGCTTTTACCAGGCTGGTATCAAACTCCTGACCTCAGGTGATCTGCCCGCCTTGGCCTCCCAAAGTGCTGGGATTACAGGCGTGAGTCACCATGCCTGACCATCAAATATATTAAGAATATGGATGAATATATATCAGATGAACTTGGATATGCCTACACACATACTCAAATGTAACTTATATAACCACACATAAATACGTATAGATATAAAGCTTTAGATATTTATTTAAGACGTAGTTACATACATGTTGATATTTAAAGTGAGAAATATTGGCACACAATATAGAAATAAAGAAGTAAAATTTCCATTGTCTCGTGGTTTGTATAAATTTTATCAGGAAATTAGAAGAGATCCCTAGAAAAGCAGTGAGAATGGGGTCATTTGGTAGTGAGTTAGCACGAAACACAATGAATATACTCAAACTCAGCTTTCTCATGGATAATTACCTTTTATTTTTAAAATATGAAAGAATAAAGTACTTCACTTATAAGTTGTTAAAGGTGTTGAATAATTCTTTAAGTTGGAATGAATATAATTGTTCAAATGTCCACTCAGGACACCCAGCTCCCCTTGACAGGACCTGACCCACTGCGCCCAGCGTCTTCACCGCGAGCATCTCCTCACTCACCGGCCTTGGAGTCGGACTTGGTTTGTGGTGGGCTGAAGGTCTCAGCTGCTCCTGAGAATCAAAACAGAGGAGAAGAGACATATTCAGATGTAACTTATATAACAAATTCTGTATAAGGTTATATACAACTTACATAACCTCCCTGTCAAGGAGAGGTGGGGGTCTTGGGTAGACATTGAAAAAATTACGTCCACTTTAATTTAAAGAATTATTCAACACCTTTGACAATTTATAAGTGAAGTATTTGATTCTTTCATATTTTTTAAACAAGAGGTAAGTACCCATGAGAAAGCTACTGCTTTGGGTATATTCATTGTATTTCATATTAACTCACTACCACATTGCCTTCTTCTAATTTAAATTTAAATTATCAAATTTAAAGCACCTCCTTTTCCTATAAAAGAGGTTTATTTAGATGTTAGAATCATGCAGTGATTGGACAAGATTGGACATGGACCCACCCAGGCCCAGGGCTGAGCTGCACTGCAGCCCCCGCTGACCTCCCGCGGGTTTCACAAGCCACAGGGAGTCCCCCGGTCAGTTTCCCTCGGGCCACTGTGCTTTGAAACATCCAAACACTTCTGAAGCTCATTAAGGAAACCTCAATTTTTAATATGTAGGGGAGGAAGACTTGAGGTTAATGAAAAATGGATGTCTACATTGAATATATAAATCAAATCACAGCCCAATGAAAGAAGTATGATAATTTTTAAATAATAGGTTCACATAACTGAAATAAAAATTATAAATTTACATATTCAAGTATTGCTTTGAAAGGTTTAGAAAAGAAGAGAGTAACAATGGGCAAGTACGTATAGAAAACGCAGAGTAGAAATGAGTTACACACAAGATGCACTGTGAATAATTGCCTAACTCATCCAGGGAGCAGGTGCACAGCCCCTCCTTAGTCTCAGGGTGCCCTGAGCACAGAGGCCTCCAGGTGAACACAGGAGGGGCCATGTGAGGGGCACCCACAGCTGGGGTGCTTCTCTCTAAAGGAGCGGGTCTGGGGCAGACTCCAGCCTCATCACAGTCAGATCCCACTGAGGCCCGAGCAGCCTCCTCTCCTGTCCTGAGATGGCCCAGGGACCCCACAGGTGTAGGTGAGAGGCTCATCCTCAGGGGCCCTTGGAAATGAGAAGTGAGAACTGCCAAGGGAGCATCTGTCTGTCCTCTCTCCATCTCGCCTGCCTCTCTTCCTCCTTCATCAGCTCAGTATCTTCCCCGTGTCCAAGTCAGGCCTGGACCCCAAATCCTCCTGACCCAGCCTGTGCTCCTTCCTCTACTCATCACACATCCTGCAGGACAGGGTAGGGGCCTGGGGTCATGCAGAGCTGTGACAGGAGTGGCTTTCCGTATAAAATTGGAGGGATTTGGTCTTTTACATGAGAGAGGGGAGATTCTAAAACAATGGGGCTTTGTAAACCTTTGTTGTTTCAAAATAGTGTGGCTTTGTCTTACTAAGCTGAGATTCCAGGAGGGATGAGTAAAACTGCATGCACCTGCCCCCATCTCCGTTGGCTTTTTAACCCTTACAAGCCTCCGTTATTGGGAGAATTAGGACAAGGCCAGAGAGGGCTGCAGGCAGGAGCAGGTCTAGGAGGAGCCACATCTCAGATGCCCCAGAAGGTCAGAAATGAAGGGGTTTTGGGGTGGTCACATCCAGGCAGCTCCCCGTTATTCACATGGGGAGTCCTGGGTGCGAGGAGAACCAGCTTTTTCAGAAGTTCCACCGCCCAAGGAGAGGCTGAGCCATCACAGACCCGGCCCCACCTCCCCGAGCTCCTCCCACCTGACTCCTAGAGCAAGCACCTGCCTGTGATCGCCCCTGGCCCTGGCTCCCCATGAGAGGTGATGGCTCCTGGGAATCCTGCTCCCGGAGGGGGAAAGTCCCCGCTGCTCCATTCATCAATGCCGAACCTCAGACACCTCCCTCCCCTCTGACCACCATGAAGGGAACATCTGCCCCATCCCTGGAGCACCAGGAAGCCACGCGGACCACACCCTTACTGTCCACCCTGCCCTCTGCTGCTCTGGAAATCAGACCCTGCTTATTGGAGGTAGCATTGAGATGAGTCTAGAAACTTGTCTTGAGCTGGGAATGGCTGTTTCTTTGTCACCCATGGGGTCAGGACTTAGAGGTTGGGACCCCCAGAGGCTCTGAATCTGAGGTGGAGACACCAGGAGGGGAGTGTGTGGGGCCTCCGTCTTCCACCCTCAGTCTAATCTCATCTCTGAGGTTCACCCCCGTCTCCTCCCAGCCCTCCCTGCTCTTTACCCTACTGAGACTTCAAGGGTGGGAGCCAGGGGTGGAAGGTCCCATCTATTTCCACCCTCTCATGGGCTGGACCCTCCCCTGCGGACCCTCCCCCCTTCACTTGCCTCTTTCATTATTGTCCCAGAGCTCTGCCGGGGGCAGGGCCTGAGCTGAGCCTTTGAGTTCAGAGGGGACAGGGTCAGGGCCCTCACCTGAGACCACGAGCTCCAGGGGGTCACTGGGGTGAGTCAGCAGGTAGGGGTTGGAGCTGAGTGAGCCGTAGCACCTGTAGGTCCCCACGTGGGCTGAGGTCACAGGACTCATGGGAAATTCAGCCTGGTACTTATGAGACCGGCGCTTTGATTTTAGACGCAGAGGGGGATCAGCTGCTCCCTCCTTGGTCAGAAGGAAAGTGTGCATCCATCCCTGTGACTGACACAGCAGGGTCACGTTCTCTCCTGAGGCCACCGTGGAGCCCGGCTGCACTGAGAGGAAGGGTCTGGCACGAATCTGTCCTGGAGAGAAGGATGGATGAGGAGCTGCCCCACCTTGTTCTCAGCTGATACCTCCCAGGCCTCTCTCTGGAACCCTTAGTCTCTCTGTCTGTTTTCTCTGAGTCTCCCCCTCTCTGCCCATCGCCTGTCTCTGTCTGTCTGTCTCTCCCTTGGGACCCCCACACCTCATCCCAGCCATCACCATCTTGGCTCCCCCGGCAGGGCCTGTGCAGAGCGTGGGTCCCTGACTGAACCCGCCGGGTTCCTCACCTGAGATCAGGATGTCCAGGGGGTCACTGGGGGCCGACCACTCGGAGGAGAGGTTGTGTGCACCGGAGCATCTGTACTGGCCCCCGTAGGAGCGGCTCACAGGGCCCAGGGGGAAGTTGGCCTGGGAGAGCCCAGCCTGGGGCTGCCGGCCAGGGCGCTGGAGGAAGTCACGTCCCCACTCCTTGTACAGAGCGAATCTGTCATAGCCGACGTTAGAGCCACACTGGAGGATCAGCTTCTCCCCAGGGGCCACGACAGGACCCGGCTGCACTGAGAGTGACGGCTTCTTAGAAACGCCTGGGAAAAGGTGGTCACAGTTTCCAGGAGCGACCCTCAGGCTTCCCCACAAACCCTCCCTCTCCCCCTGGGCCTCACCACTGCTGATCTTCCTGTGTCTCTGACCCCAGGAGCCCTGAGCCCTCTCGTCCCAACATCATCCCACCTGGCGCTGCCCTGAGACGCGGCTCCTCCCCACCTGCCTGGAGACTCAGGGAACTCCAGACAATGCTGTGAATTTCTCACCTGGGACCAGGAGCTCCAGGACATCACTGGGTAAAGACCACACATAGGGAGAGTGTGAGTCATAACTATAGCACCGGTACGACCACCTGCGACTCGGGCTCACGGGGCCCACGGAGAAGACGGCCCGGGATGACCCATGGGTACGGGGCTGGGAGATCAGGCATTGTGGGTGTTCATCTTCTCCTTCCTTACACAGAATGAAGCCGTCAAATGCCACCCGTGAGTCACACTGGAGGGTCACGCTCCCTCCTGAGGCCACCACAGGGCTGGGCAGGGCTGAGAGGATGGGTTTTCTGTAGGCTCCTAGGAGAGAAGGAGGCACCGTGTTAAATGGGACCCAAACCCCCAACATCATCCCCAGGGCTGGGCTGTGAGAGGGAGACGCCCCTGAGAGCCGACCCCCTTCCTGAGGACAGAGCCTGGGGCTGGGACCCCTGAGTGTCCTCTCACCTGTCACCACCAGCTCCAGGGGGTCACTGCGCTCTGACCAGCCTGCCGTGTGGCTACCATAGATACAGCGATACCGCCCTGCGTGCTCCCAGGTGGTGGATGGGATGGGGAACTGGCCCTTCTTCACAAGCTCCTGTGGGATCCGTGTAATCCAGGGTGCTGTTTTTTCTTCTCTATATAGACGGTACTCCTGGGTCTCCAGGGTCCCCTGACACCTGAGGGTCACGGGACTCCCCTGGGTGATCACAGAGTCTGGCTCAGCCCAGAGGGTGGGTTTGGGGAGGGTGCCTGGAAGGAAATCAGAGTTCAGATTCTAAGTCATTTCCTACCCAACCCAACAGATTCCAGCTCCCAGTCCAGGACCCTCCAGATGCCCCCATCAGTCAGCCCAGATCTGCTATTCCCTGTCCCCAGCTGCACGGGGGTGGCCCCTTGTCCCCAGTGAGGAGAAGGGACCTGGGACAGCTGGGGACAGACTCACCTGCCTGCACACAGGTCCTCCAGCCCAGACTCAGCCCTGGAAGAGAGTTCCCGGTGAGAGATTTGCCCCTGAAGCCTGAGCAGGTCCTCCCCTCCCTGGGATCTTTGTGAGCCCCTGGGGTCTCCTTATGCACCAGAGTTTGGCTGTGGGGTGAGGCCCCTCCTAGGTTAGAATCTCCCCTCCCTCTTCAAATCTCACCGAGACAGATCAGGACCGTGAGGATGGGGATCATGGCGTCTCCTCCCACTGCCCTGCTCTGCAGATGGATGAGCCCTCGGTGCTGGCAGGACAGAGACACAGGGTGTGGCCACTCGGAGGCTGGGTCCTTCTTATGGGGTTTTGTCATCTGCAGCCACACAGGAAGTGGAACTGCCCTCCCCAGGAACCTGGCTGTCATTCCTTTAGGTCTGAGGTAGGGGCAGGCCCAACCCCTTTGTAGACATTTCAGACAGAAATGGGGTCTTTCCTGACCCCCAGCCACCGTCTGTCTGGCTTGCCTTCATCTCGCTAAGACCTGGGATGTAGCAGGAGAAAGAACTGGTGCCTTCTTGAGTCAGCCCCTTTCAGGCGAGGGCGACCGTGGGCTCCTCTTCCCTCTCAGAGCCTCCCCATGGGGTCTCCCTCCCTCCTTCAGCCCGTCCATCGGCTCAGCATCGCGGGGTCCTTACCATGGCAGTCGTCTCTCCAGCCCTGGAGATGCTTCAGGGAAGATGCAGGTCCACACTGAAGGCAGACCCAGGTCAGCAGAAACACACCTGACACCGGGCTGTGCAGCCCAGGCTGAGCCGCGTGTGGCAGTGAGCACAGAGAAGAAATGCAGGGAATAAAGAGAGGAAGTCGTGACCCTCTTTGTGGCCCTGGACTATAGATTTTCTTTCTAATCAATAGTAATCCCCCCCTTTTGTTAACTTCCCCCCTTTTTGTTTTCTACAACGTCCACCCCTGACCTCCCTGGGAACAAACCTCTGAGTCTTTCCGGCCTCCTCGGTGCCCCTTTCGTCCTTGGCTGTCCCTCTGCACCTCAATCCCTGTTCAACGTTTTGGGAACAATGACTTATGTTTGAGCTTTGATTTGGGGAGTGGGGGAGGGAGCTGATATTTATTCAATGACCGGTTATCATCCACTGCCTCCGTGACCTCGGGCGGTAGTGAACCATCTCTGAGCCTCAGTTTCTTCCTTTGCAGCTTGTTGTCGCAAATCCCACTCGTCACCGTGGTTGTGGGGTCAGTGGTTCCTGGGACATGGGAGAGGCTCCTTGGTGCTTCATTTCCAGACCAGGTGAGGACATGAGGTGTTTGGGATATGATAGGATCAGAGCGTTGGATGATTGATGTGTTCACTCGAGATCTCACATCTGAGATCCCTAATGGAGAAATCTACAGGCAGCATTTCTGAAATATGCAGAACATCAGTGTCATGAGGCATGGGAGGCCCCCAAGTGTAGATGTTATGAGGCATGGAAGTCCCCAAGTGTAGATGGATCCACATTAAATAACAGAGGTCAGAGGTGGGTCGCCACAGGTGCCCAGGACCCTCACGAGGTCATTAAGGTGGAGGTTTCCACCAAAGGTGGCATAAAGTGATTAGACTCAAAATGCCAGACCTGCCTTGGTTTATTTACTATAGAGAAACGGATTCAAATGTTTAGGAAGATTGAAATGTTAGAGAGGAGTTGTCATTCAAAACTCCTCATCTAAATTGGAAGAGTCTAGAACATGTATCTTTCTTTTTTTCTTTTTCTTTTTTTTTTTTGAGACAGAGTCTCACTCTGTTGCCCAGGCTGAAGTGCAGTGGTGTGATCTCAGCTCACTGCAACCTCCATCTCCCGGGTTCAAGCGATTCTCCTGCCTCAGTCTCCCGAGTAGCTGGAATTGCAGGCGTGCGCCACCACACCCAGCTAATTTTTGTATTTTTGGTAGAGACAGGATCTCACCGTGTTGGCCAAGCTGGTCTCGAACTCCTGACCTGAAATGATCCACCAGCCTCGGCCTCTGGAAGGCGTGAGCCACCGTGCCCAGCCGAAAATGTATCTTTCAACAATCTTGTGAGAAATAAATGTGTGAGGGAAGACCCAGAATTGTGGAAGAGCTCTGTGATGGTTTTTCTTTTTAGGTTCAAACTTCAGGCGTGAGCTGCTGCTGCTGAATTGAGAAACATAAATGTAATTAGAGTCATTGGATCCCAGAGTGGCAGGGGCCATGCGGCGAAACTCCACTAACAAAGGCGAGATTGGTGTGACCACAGTAATGCAAAGCAGACTCAAAGCAGCAATTGAAATCATGTGACTTATGCAACCATGTGGTGCTTGCTAGTTTGTCATGGTGTTCCCATAAGTGAAATAGATAAGAAACTTAATTTTTATCTGTGTCATCAGAAAATGGCTGGGTAAAGTAAGCAAAAGTTTAACCTGAATCATAAAAGCATACACAGCAGTCCCTTAATCAATTCCTGGAATGGAACCAGTTTATAGGCCCAGAACCCCTTGAATTATGGTAAAGGCCACACTTCCTTGACATCGCCTCTGCTACGCTGCCATTTACACCGTTAATCTCCCTCCCAGCCTTCCTGAAGGAGACCTATGACCTTTTGTCAGGGCAACTGTGCACTAGAGAAAAACACAGTTACCAGACATCTTGGGTGCTACTGGACACTGATTCTGAGCTGATACTGATTCCAGGAGACCCAAAATATCAGTGACCCTCCAGTCAGAAGGGGTTTGTGGAGATCATATGATCAACATAGTCTGAGCTCACGTCTTTCTCAGTGTAAATTCAGTGAGTCTCAGACCTATCCTGTTGACCATATCCGCAGATCTGGTATGAACAATTGGAATAGACAACTATTCAATTTTCTTTCTTTTTCTTTCTTTCTTCTCTCTTCTTTCTTACTCCTCCTCCCCCTCCCCCTTC